TAAACATATTATGACATGTAACACCTTATACAACATTAAATATATTTTTTTTCATTACGGTAGACTCAACACATTAGGTTACATAGTAATATTAGGATTCACACTATAACTCAATACAAATTAAAGCTTCAGCAGAATCAGTGGTGAGAGAACTAAATCAAGAAGTAATCGGATTGCAAGCAACACAATGGCTGGCAAAAGTTATCTTCTGAAAAGAAACAGAAACAAATGAAGATTAGGTTACATACTCGAAACGGATATTTGCTGAAGTCAACTGCACCATGCAAGTCACGTGGTAATGTTACTTGCGAAGCCATATTATCGACTGGAACACATGACAGGCGAGGTCCTTGGCTCCTTACTTGAGTAGGTGTGAGGAATACCTATCACATAGTCTCTATGTCTTGGTCAACAGTACTGCAGAAAAAAGTAGCACCAAGATATTCCAACCAACCTGTTCCTCGTGTTGAGCAATTGGCACCAAGTAAACCTGTGTTGCACTACCATACTCAAGACACAATTCCTGAGGCTCCTCATGATTATTGTGCGCAAAATTGGAAATATAAGGACTGTCCAGTGCAAGCATGCTCCCTACACTGAAAGAGAATGTTTAGCTTGCTATAGCTTGACTTAAACAGTTGAAACTTGTATAGAGTGAAATGAACCTGAAAAGATTTGCAAGTGAAACCTGCTCTCCCCATAAAATAAATTTGATCTTCTCATCATCATTATCTACAAGCACAATCTGCTTTCTTTCTGTACATCCAAAAGGTTCCAAGGTCTCAATCTTCTCAATCCTGCAAGAAAGAAAGGGTGGGTTCTGAACCTTTCTCTAATAAAGTCAGCTTTTACAGTTCATCCAATTCAATTTTATTGCGAGTAGTAAATTTCTTCCTTTTTATTCTCACCATCAAAGAAGAGTCTACCACAGAGCGAACATGTATTTACAGAGTTCTAATACCACTAAATGATGAATTCCCCTATACATTTTCACCAGTAAAGCAATTGGCTTCGATGGTCTGAGTGATTCTACATATAATACTCAGAAGGAACCTTCAGCTGTTGAGTCCTGTTCATGGCAATAGTGGAGAGCTGAGCACAAAAGAGCTAGCGAGCTTTCAGATTAAGTTTGCTGCTATCTTTTACCCTCGCCTTTACAAGCAGAGCATATTTTACCGAGCCGAATGCTAAACAAGCTTGTTTCTGCTAGAATCTTACATGTCCAGTAGTGTAATAAATAGGAAAATAATTACAAGCATTTGCAGAAGCTTCAATCAAACCTGATCAAGTCTACGAGAAACTATACCAGCAAGCACTATCTAAAGAGATCACTAATGAGAAGTAATAGATATCTTATTTTACCTGGCATAAAATGAGTATACAACATCATTTCTACTTTTCTCTTCCATCATGGAGGAGAAAGAATATGTGCAAAACTGTGCAGCAAGTAGCATGGCATCTTCATCTTTTTCCTATATAAAGCAAAGGTAAGCTCCTAGTGAAGAATGTGCATGGAAGTTGATCTCATAAGTGGAGATGACATGGTTTCACATTATAACAGCTTAAGCTTAACTATTTTTCTATACAGAAATGAAATATCACAGTTGATCTCATAAGTGAAGATGACGCGGTTTCACATTATGGTAAACTTTTTCTAACTTCTAGTCAACTATCAGGGTATGACGAGTCTTTAAGGGATCAAAATAAAATATCGCAGTTGATCTCATAAGTGGAGATGGCATGGTTTCACATTATGATAAACTTTTTCTAATTTCTAGTCAACTATCAGGGTATGAAGAGTCATTTAAGAGATCAAAATGCAATTAAACAGCAGCATATAATCTGACAAGTTGCATAAAACTGTATCTTTGAACAGCACTTCCTTTATACAACCTAAAAGCTTTGGATGGTCACCTCATCAAGTAATATCACCATGTATTCTGTTGGCAAAATACGAGCATGGCCAGATCCCTCAACAACAGCTGTGCGAAGACAACATCCTGTGAGCACAACTTCTCGACCCTTCTTCAAGATACAATGTTGTCCTATATAGTTGTAGTACCTGGCATGGAAGTTTGAGAGCCCGCATATAAATGAAAGTCAGGCCAATGCAAAATCGATCCTCGTCCATTTCACATTTCCTTTATGCATTTGTTAATGACTTTTACCATGATATCAGTCTAACAAAATGGAACATCAACTAAGCAATTAGTCAGACCTACCTTCGGTGTAGATACAGATCAATAGTGGATGTACTCCACATGTCTCCCAAGGTAAGCATGTATATATTTGTACCTACAAGAAAGACGCAAAATTGAGGAGGCGCCGTCGAAAATGCAGATTAGAATTCATGTAACAAAATGGCCTTTCAAATAGTAAATGCTTTAAAAATTATGGTGTTTAATCACGGATAATGTTGAATGAATGGATATCACCAATTAATCATGGAAGTTGTGATAAATGGGAGGGGGGCTGTTTTTATTCTTTTTCCGAATGGTCACTAGGAGGGAGATACTGCCCACCTGGATTTTCATTGAGACAAGAACCAGAGTTTAAGCTTATAGACCATGGGTGATTGAAGGTAATGGAGCCCGGAGGCAGGGCAAACCCGCCAAGCATCGGCGTGGTGCCAAAGGCCAGGAGTGATGTGGGCTCTCCAGGGGATTGCGTTGTTTCTGCAGATCACCCTACGAGTGCCATTGATGGGGACAAGGGCAGGAACACCGACTCATTTCATGTGCTTCCAGAACTGCCAGCAGCCTGAAGGGGATTCTGCTCTCATATTGGGCTTATGTTCACTTACTGAGACAGTTCTAGAGAAGTACTAGACTACTAGCCTGCCGTCCTCTTAAGCAAATATCTCTTTAAAGCTTATATGTTCTAAAACCAGTCAAGGAATTTCTAACACACACATATTTCGTTCATTGGATGGAGGAGATTACAAGGCGCTTAAGCATACCAGGAAGAACGAAAACATCGATGACGACTGCCTCAAGGACACTCTTGGGAGAAAGGAAGTTCTTCTCATGGATAGAATCGATTGTGACAGTCGTGGGAAGCCTCCTTCTCTTACTCCTTGTGTTTAGAAGGCTGGTCACTTCAACCTTCGTCTTTGCGGTAAGAGATTTACGCTGCTCTGTCCAGGACTATCAAAAGCAGCAAATGTTTAGCCCTATAAGGCATCCGTATATTTCATGAAAACACACAAGAAAACTCCAATCCAATTGGTAGAAGAAGTGGTGATAAAATAGTAAATACAATGTAAGCACATAGATTTGCATCATGTTTATATATGTGGAACAGCCAAAAGGCAGGACTTATACAGTACATCAAGTAACTAAGTAACCACTATACAGTACATCCAAACTGGTAATTATAAGGTAGATAGGGTAGGGCAATCTTTCCCTGTATACGGATGAGTATACAACCAATTAGATCCACTTTTGGTACACATAATTTTTATTTTGTGTATGTCCTGTGAAGTTGAGTACTAATTACCAACACATTGTTCAAATCCTTCCATGAACTGGTGCGCTTGCTTTCAAATTCGAGCTAATAGAAATGGGGAGTCAGTTGGCGGCGGCAAATCAGACAGACCTGGAAGAGGTCGGAGAGGAGGATGGCGGCGGTGACGCCGCTGGAGTAGGCGCGGCAGGACTTGAGCACCTGCGCCACCGTCCACCCCCACGGCGGCCGCGCCGGCGCCGGCCCCGCGCCGGGGGACTCGCTGCCGTCGCCACCGGACGAGGTGATGACCGAGATGGCGTAGTCGACGAACTCGAGGAAGGCGCCCCCGTCCGCGGAGGCGGAGGCGGTGACGGCGGCTGGCTCCATGGAACCCTAGACCAAGGGAGGGGAGGGGAGGGGAAGTGGGCGGGAAGACTCCGGAGAATGAAGACGAGCGCGGGTTTTTCCGCCTCTGTCCGTGACGGGTGGGGCCGGGCCGCAGCCCAGCACCATTTTGGGCTAACGGTGGCATTTCCACAACTTTTTCAGTAAGAACCTCTCAAAAAAAAAACTTTCAGTAAGAAAATGAGGTGATAAATTGTTAAGAGCTTCTCCTAAACGAATTTGAATTTGAATTTGAAAATTTGCACATTACTAGGACAACACCAACCCAACATGCTCCATGTTTTCATAAACTTTTTAAAAAATTATTCCCTCCGTAAACTAATACTTATAACACATTTTAGATCACTACTAGAGGCAGTAACATAGTACTTCAGTTTTCAATTGGTTTTCACCATAGCTTGGGTTCTGCCGTAAATTTTCCTCTCATTCCGTTCCTAAATATAAATCGTTTTGTCGGTGTTTTGGCGAAACCGGCTTATATTTAGGAACAGAGGGAGTAGTTCAGAAGTTCAAATTCCAACTGGTTCGGCAGGTACATCTCAAACACATCAACAACTCCGCTGATCATGTTCCACTCTTTTTCAAGCGGCTAGCGGCGTTACCTGACACGCCCAGAGGATGAACATATCAGTGACAGACATAATTTAGGGCACTTTTTTTTTCATTGCTCCCCAGTCTCCAGTTAATTGCAACAACCAGATGAGACAACAAGATTGTGAAGTATACTAAAATCTCATCGTGGGGCAGTGGGCAGAGATAACAACAGATTATTGTAAGCTGCGAGAACCAATCAATTTACGGTTACAACATCCTTAACAAGGCTCCCTCATCAACATCTTTTCTAGGAAGGAAGAAGAGGCTCCCCCATAAACTCTAGGCAAATCTCCAGGCCTGAAGACTATCCACATTTATCCGACATCGATACGATACGAGGGGGGAACCCCGCAGCATTAGGGAAAACTGGCAACTTAACAAGTAGTCAAATTTTATGTGCAAAACCAAGAGAAAAGTAAGGCGAGGAAAAGAAAACTGCTGCAGGCGGGCGATTTCTGCACTGTTCACAGGGGCTGGTTGTTGAAGAAGCCGTCTATCTCACAGGCGATTTCTGCTCACAGGAACTGAGCATCCATGGGTGAAGTGGTTCATGATCAGTGGTCTAAGGCGGATCTGATGGAAAGGGGCGGCACTTGCGCATTTCCTTTGGCTAACAGCTCGTGATTTATGAATAGGACGATGACAGTGATGTCGTCGTGGAAATGCCGGCGGACTTTCTTGTCGATCCTCATGAGGTCTGAGTACCGCATCTCACGCTTCCGCGCTGCTTCTTGGAGTGCTGCTTTTATGAGCCTTCTTGCGCTCCCCTGAACAAAGACAGAGTGTGCCAGTCATGATACAGAAAATTAATCCAAGCAGTTTTAACCATTTACCTACAGCTGAGACATCAAAATCACCCTTGCAGCTATGCTGAGTGAGCCAACTTCAACTAGTTTGGTAAAGCTACCATGTCAAACTGTCAACAGTATCCAACAAGTACTATTTTTTTTGCAATAAAGTATCCCAAAAAATATTACTTAGTAGCTTCACCCATGGCACACTTATGCATCCACCTTATGTCTGGAATAGCAATAAATGCAAGCTTGTGGGACATTCAATATCCATGGTATCAAACACAAATATATACAGCCAAGAAAACAAGTGGCTAAAGAGACCTCAGTCAAGCTACTACAGCAAGTTATGAATCCCCAATGCTTGAAGAATAGCACAAAATTGCTGTTGCTTCCATGTAGGCAGTGACATTTTATTATTGGTATGGTCCATGTGGACCTACAATAATACAGTAGAGAATTTACATAATTACAATAGCTATCATGACATGAATGATTGTGCCGGCAATACAGAAGGGAATAAGCCATAGGCACAGCTAACTTTTTTATCTATCTAAGTGGGTGCAAAACATCATAGGAAATGCCTCAAACTTCCTATGGTAATAAGATGGTTCTAACTCAAAGCATTCAAGGGGAAACCCTTGACTTGGAAATTTTGCCAGCTTGTAATTGTGAGAATCCAAAACCACTGACGCAGTCGGACACCAGAAAATACTCCACATCCAGCATGTTACCATCACCAGCAAACAACAATTATTAGTTTCATAGTGAGGACCCTGTCTGTACTTAACTATTCATGCTGGTGTCGACAAAACATGAGAACATCATTCGGATTTCTAGTACACAAAATTCAGATTATAAATTATCCTTTGCTTAGGTAAATGGAAGTATGAGAAACAGTACGCCGTGATACACATTTAGTCTGGTGAATACATTTAAAGTCCTACTTATAATGCAAAAGGAAACTCATAGCATTTCACACTTGGTCGATTTAAGATCATCCTAGGCAACAACAGAAAGCTAAAAGAAATATAGAGAGGAAAATGCTGAGTGGGATCTTACAGCGCGTTGATTGTTGTGAACAATCTCCACAGCTTCCTGGTTAGTCAAGTGCTCCCACAAGCCATCTGAAGCAAATATGACGAAGCAGTCACTTGGTTCAAGGCTGCGCGAGACGATCGTTGGTTCGGCACTCATTATAGGTCTGCTGAATGGCTCAGAGACTCTGAACTTTGGTTTGATCCGTTCCGTGTTATACTTTGCGTCTTTCAGGTATGCATCACCGAGTGACCGCGACACCTGCATAACCAACCCACTACGTAAGCACCAAACACACATATATATAGGCTGCAAACGAATTACGAATACAGCGACGCGAAACCAAACCCCTTAAAGATAAAAACCGACCTGTATGATGCCCTTGACTCTCCAGACCCCATGCTTAAGCGCGACGATCTGCGGGTCATCGGGGTGCTGGGCCATGAGCTCCTGCCGGACAGCCTCGTGATTGGCGTTGTGCTCGGTGGAGAGCTGCTCGGCGACGATCTGGCCGGAGCGGCCCACCTTCTTCCCCAGGACGGCCCGGGAGTCCCCCAGGTTGGCGACGAAGAGGGTCTGGTCGTGCACGACGCCGACGAGGCAGCAGGAGCCGACGGTGGCGAGGTCCGGGTTGGTGTCCCACTGGCTGGAGACCTGCGCGATGAAGGCCGCCTCCGTGGCCGCGAAGGCGTCCCTGATGGCGTCCGCCGTGACGCCGCCCGGGCCGGATGCGGCCTCTGCACGGGAACGCACGCAGATCATTAGATCAAACCTAGCTAGCTAGCTCTGGCTCTCGTCGCCGCAATCCATCCCATCCATTTCCCCCATACCAATCCGTGCGCGCGTGCGGCCGTGCGGGTGGAAGAATATACTACTACTCGTATGTAACAGAAGGGGGAGGAAGGAGGGGAGCGAATGCGGATGGGTACCTAGGAGGGCGGGGAGGAGGTGGTCGCAGGCGAAGCGGGCGGCGGCGTGGCCGGCGTGGCCGTCGAGGACGGCGAGGAGGGTGCCGAGGGGCGGGGCGGAGTGGAGGCGGCACTGGTCCTCGAGGGTGTGGTTGGCCTGGACGAGCGCGGCGGAGGCGTCCCCGGCGGCGCAGCGCGCGAGGTCGCGCCACCAGAGCAGGCCGTCGCGGCCCTCAGAGGCGGAGGAGTCCGAGGCGGGGTCGGAGGGCGGGCCGGCGGCGTGGGGCGGCGCGGGCGAGGTCTGCCAGGACCCGCCGCACGCCGAGAGGAACCTGAGGAGCCCGCCCAGCATAGCACCGCCACATCGCCGACCGGGGCGCCCCCGATGCGCGCGGGCGGCGGCGGCGGAGCAGGAAATGCGATGCGCGCGCGGGCGCGGGTGGGGCGGGG